CTACCACTGGCCTATTCTCCCAGACCTTTTTATTTTTTATTTTAAAACAGAGTCCTGCTAAATTGTCCAGGCTGAGCACAAGTTTACAATATTCTTACCTCAACCTCCTAGAATTCTAGGGTTACAGGCATGCACCACTATGCAAAACAAATGTTTTTAATTTTTTTTTCATAATTACAATTTTTAGTTTTATTTTTCTTTTTAGTTATTTATTTCTTGGTACCAAGGAAATGTTTTTAACTGTAAGAAATATCAACTAATCCATTTTTAATTGCTATGCTTTAGGTGTCATATCTAAGAAGCCACTGCCTAAACCAAAGTCACAAAATTTCCCCCTAAATTCTTGTCTAGAAGTCTTACAGTTTTATCCCTTACATTTAGGTTTTTGCTTCATTTTGAATTACTTTTTAAAATATGGCATAAGGCAGGGATCCAGCCTCATTTGTTTGTAGCTATCTACTTGTCCCAGAACTATTTCTTGAAAGACTAATCTTTCCCCTACCAAATAGTTCTTGGCAACTGTGTCAAAAACAATTGGCTATAAATTAGCTTATTTCTGAATTATCAGTTTTACCACACTGATCTATATTCAGGCTAGCACCATACATCTTAACGACTATCATCCTGTAGTGATTTTTGAGGTAGGAAATGATAGTGGGGTGCAGGAATTTATGCTTGTATTCCCAGCACTCTGAGAGGCTGAGGCAGGAGAATAACAAGTTCAAGCCTAGCCTGAGCAACTTAGAGAGACCTTGTCTCTAAATAAATAAGTAGTACTGGTGATATAGCTCAGTGCTCCCGGGGTTCAACTGTATTACAAAAACAGAAAGAGGGAGAGGAGGAGGTATGGGTTGTGAGAAGGGGAAGGAAGGAAAGAGGAGGGAGAGAGAAAGGGAAGGAATGAGCAAACGAGAAGGGAAAGAAGGTAGATGACTCTTTATGGGGTCATATTGTTAGTAGTAGTATTTCCTTTATATGCTGTTTATTTTTTCTATCCAGTAGTTCTAATGCTTATTTAACTTACTCTTAAACTTTCTTTCTGTTTCCGGAGTTTGCTATAGTTATATACATAAATACTCAATCTTTGTCAGTCTAAACCTGTGTTAGTCAGTTAATCCTTCCAGCCCCAATCCCATCAAACATAGGCTCTCCTCCTATAGCTGATTCCTGGTATTTTTTAGTCTTTCCCTAGACAACTAGGGTGGCTTCAAAATGGCCAGGGATCCTTTGACACTCATCCCATCACAAGTTGGGGTTCACGTCCCCTCCCCTTTGGTTTGTCATGACCACGTTCATCAGGACTTTGTGCTTGCTCTACGGATTGCCAGGAACTCTGATTTGGTGACATCACCACCTTCATTCTTAGACCTAGGTTAACAAGGTGTCAGCATCTGGGACATTGCCAGATACCATGAGATTTAAAAAACAGACACTATGCATATAGTTGTGTGCAACTTACAGGTGATCTGTACAGCTGGATTACTACAGAAACAGCCTAACTGTGTTAGTCAACTTTCACTGTGACTGAAAGCCTGAGAAAAACAACTTGAGGGTTAGGGGTGGGAATCACTTACCCAGAGCCCATGTGGGAAGCCAGACTGCAGGATCTGAGGGCCCACCCTCCATGACTGCCTCTGGGTCTGACACTAACCACAGGCCCATCATTCCCAACCTGGAAGCCAGTATGTGCATGATTCCATTTATGACAGGGAAAGAACACCGACGAGAAAGTTGAAGGAAGAGACGTATCGGGCAGGCAGGGGAAAGTGCCAAACCTAAAGCTCCACCATGCTGTGGATCTGTTACTGTCCCGCCATTGATGTGTGACGATACACACACAGTGTAGCTCACCTGAACTTCCATGCCCAGGGTTTTTGTCAGGGCTTCCTCACAGGGCACCACGGATCCAACAATTGCCTGTGTGGTTGAACTCAGTATCCAGATGGGGGTCCTACATCACATGATGAGTCTTTGGGTCATCTCTATCCTTCCTTAAGGCTACTGGGCATGGTCAGCTCCTATCTGCACTAAAGACCTTCCTATCAGGTATAACACAGAAGCCAGGGCAAAGGTTTGTCCTTTCTCGTGGGCAAGGTCAGATTCTTTACTATATAGCACCAGGCTGAAACACACACAGGCTTCCATGAAGTGACACAGGCTGCTTTCTTTCACATTTCATTGGCTGAAGCAAGCTATGAAGCCAAATTGGCCTTCAAAGGGAGAGGAGAAGTATATTCTTCTGGTAGCTAGTTAGATATAGGTAATTGGAAATCCCCACTATCACACTAGTTTATTTAATCTTCTCATCAGTTCTGTTATCATCATCTCCATTTTCCAGATAAAGAAACTGCCATAGCCAAGCGTGAGGGGGGCACACCTGTAAATCCAGCACTCATAAGGCTTAGGCAGGAGGGTCACTGCAAGTTCAAGGCCAGCCTGGGCTACAAAGTGAGTTCAAGATCAGCCTGAACCATATAGTGAAACCTTGCCTCAAAAAAGAAGAATAAGAAGAGGAGGAGGAGGAGGAAAAATGAGAAAAAGAAAGAACAAGTGAAAGAGAAACAAAGAAAAAAAGAAAGAAAGAAAGACTGAGCCACAACTGGCCATAGGGCAGTATACTGGGAGGCTGAGGTAGGAGAATCACAAATTTGAGCCTAATCTGGGCAATTTAGCAACTTAGCAAGACCTTGCCTTGAAAGTTAAAAATTTAAAAAGGGATGGCCATGTAGCTCTGCACAAAGGCCCTGGGTTAAATCCCAGTACAGAAAAAAATAACCCAGTTTAAGGAAAAAGAAACTCGTGCCACAGAGGAGCTAAGTAACATATCTAAAATTACACAGCTTCTAAGGGCAAAACTGAGATGCTTGAATTTAAACCCAAGAGTTCTAAAGTCCGTTCTCTTTAAGGCAGCTAAATGGAGGAAATGCTACAGCTTCTTCAAATGTCTTCTTTTTCTGCATTCTGACGATATTTCATGAATACTGGCTAGGCTGGCATATGTTGGGAGTACAGTAGTGGGTGAGATGCCAGGTACTGCCCTAGTGAAGCTGAGGTTTTTTCCTCCTTTCTTCTTGAACAAAAGAATTTGCAATGGAAAAATGGGAGTTGAACTAATCAGCCTCCTCCCAAACACACAGTCACCACCTCTGCAAATCTATCACCCTCATCACCCCCAACTAGGATCAACTCTCACCCACCCACTTCTTGGAACTTTGGTGAGACAAAGAGGTAGGGATAAATGAAGCTGAAGAGGAATGAAATGAAGAAGCAGTACGGTAATTCATCTGCCACTTCCTATTTCTTCAATATAATTGAGAGGTATAGCCCAGCTCTGCCCAATCTGATACCAACTCCATGGTGCACTCTGACAAAACATCAACCCTGTCCCTACCCTTCCCAAGCCAAACTGGACAAGAATCAAATCAAATTTCCCCATTAAGGTCAATACTGAACCTAGCCATTGAGTTTGACTTGGTTTTTGTCTGACTCAGTTTGCAACCAGAATTCTGGAGAGAATGAAGTTCATGAACCAAGGTACCACTGTACTCTTTCCAGAAGTACTTGAAAGGGAGTCTTTTTTTCCCTCCTTTTGAGTTTGCTAGGAAGAAAAAATGCTGGCAGGTAGCTTGTCACCTCTAGGGATCAGTCTATCTAGAAGGGAGCCATGATAAAGGGAAGTGAGCAAAGACCGGAGACATGTATACCTACCTTTTGACAACATTTGAGCTCCTAGATTCAGCCGTGCTGAAGCTAATGTTATCTAGCATTTTCTGTTGTGTGAACCAATCCATTTTTTTGTGATTACAAGGTTAAACTGAATTTCTAACATAGAAATCAAAGAGTCTTACGTACTTACGTTTTTAAAGTGTATAACCCAAAGAAGCCATCATATGCAATACAGAAAAGAAAAATGTTTGTACTTAAATGAAAACCAACCCTAGGAAGGCAAATTCCGAAGATCATGAGGGATGACACCAATTTCCCCAGCACCAATGCCTAGAATTATCACCCCTTCTACCCACACTCACAGCCTGCAATTTTTAGAAAAGCAAGAATAGCAACAGAAGGAAGAATTGGCCATCAGTGTGCACAAGAAGACACCAGCATACTAAGTCTCCTGTCTCTCCACTAAAAAGATTCAGTACTAGAAAGCAGCAATGAAGTCTCATATTCGTAAAATTCATTACAGTCATAAAAAGCACCACCACTCACATATTTTCATGAGCTATTAAAACAAACAGTTAAAACTAAAGCCCATTTGGTATCCAATATCCTCCACATGATCATATTTTTTCATGTATTTGTGAAGCAACACAATTTGGCTAACTGCAATATATCTCCCTCTAACTGAGTCAGATTTCCACATTCTCTTTTGCATCCCAAAATAATAAACCACAATTTCCCTATGTCATATAACTTGTAAATTACACATACTTATATCACAACATGAAATCCATTCTCTGCCTCTCCCCTTTGTTCTTCTCAACTGGCCTGTCATTTAAACAATTTTTGATGAAACCTTCACAAATGCTGAGCACCAGGGAAGTAAGAATAATATAAAGAAAGTGTGTTTGCATTTATTTGACACGTACTATATGTCCATCACATTGCATGTTGTTTTATTTAATACTGACTCCAACCTTTAAAGGAAGTGTTACTGTCTCTATTGCTCTGATGGAAAAATCCTCAATGAGATTAAGTTACTGACCTGAGTTTAAGCCATTAGAAAGTAGCTATGGTGGATATCCATGGTTGCTTGCCTATGACCATTTTTTTTTCTTTAGTGTACAAACATGCTTGTCCTTAAGGAAGTTTTAAATGCTGAACGTCTTTATTTCAGGCTTGTTTGCTCCTCTGGTCTGAACATATCACCCAGTTTAGCCAACAGAGCCTGTGATAGTTAATTGTGGTGTCATCGTGAATAAGGAACACTTAACCAATTGGTTTAGCACAGTTCTGCATGCATTTGGATGGCTGACTTCCGGAAGACAGAAATATCCAGAAGAGCTAACTATGCCCCCTGGCCATCACCCAGCACTTTCATTCCCAGATGTAGACGCAAGAGAAATGAGAGCCCCGTGTCCACTGGAGATGTGTGTACAGAAGTATCTGTGACAACTGCAAGCTAGGAACACTCAAAAGCCCACAGGTAGGTAGATTAATGTGGGGATATTCATACATTGGAATGGGACTCATTATAAAAGGAAAAACTATTAATAATTATTGAGCTAAAGACAGCACGGATACAAGAATACACATGCTTTGCTTCCTTTAAACAGTTTAAAGAAGAAAAAATGAATCCAGATGCCAGAAGTCAGCAGTTCTATCTGGGGAAGGGATGCTTACTGAGAGCGAAGGGACATACGGAAATCCGGGGTGATGTTCTACCTCTAGATTTGACTTGTGGTGTTTTGGTTCATACTGATGTAAAAAACAAACACTACCAAGCTGGACACTTAAAGTACGCACACAGAAAAACATGTCACAGCTATGGTTTATACCTAGCGGTCCCCCCAAGCCTTGCCGCTCACAGGCGGAGCTGTAGGGAGGAGGTTGCATCGCGCAGGTGTGACGCACATCCTTGAATCAATCCACCAACGAGTTTACACCTAAATCTGAGGTCAGAGGTCCCGGGGCGTGGCTGGAAGGGGCTATCCCTCCCCGGCCCCTCCTCACGGTCCCTGCCTCTCCAGTCTCCACCCTCCTGCTCTGATCACCTCTCCTCACCTTTCCTCCACCAGGCCCCTGTGCCGTGCTTCCTGCCTTGGAGCCGGCTGCCTATGAACTGGAACCTCTGCACACTGTGAGTCCAAACAAACCTTTCTTCTTTTATGTTGAGGCTCTCAGTGACGAGAAAGTAACTAAGACAATGAATATATAGGACAATCCTCAATTATATCTTTTTACAGACCAAAAATTGTTGATTTAAAGGAAGTACAAGGAACACCTTTTCCTCAGTCCTGTTCTGGGACCCTACAAAATACCTTTCATTATGAACATTATGAAATAGGCTTTATTAGCTTATACCAGAAATACAAAATACAAGAATCAGAGAGGGCAAGTGACTATCCAAAGTCACACAGCCAAGTCTGGTTTTTGAATATACTTTTCCCAATCCCCGAAACCCATGCTCCTTTCTCTGTTACTATAAAGCAGGTAGGTAGTGGCATAGCCCAAGAATCATAAGCATGACCCACAAATGCTCTCCTAGTGGATTTATCTACGGACATTGACAAAGCTGAAGAGAAAGGGCTGGGTGTGCAAAGATATTCACTGCAGAATTTACAACTGCAAAATACTGGAAACACCCTGTGTATCTGACAGCATATAATTAAGCAAATTGTAATACATGTATTTGATATGATAGTACACAGCTATTAAAATTATGCTCAAGAAACATTGCAACTTAACTTTGGGGATGGATGGGAGAGTATAAACTCAAAAGAAATTGCATAGATTCTAGGAATACATGTGAGAGAAGGAAATTTTCTTAAACTCGTGCACACAGAAAAGGAAAGCCAGACAGGGAGAGCTTGTATATAAAGACCACTGACCACATCTGTCTCTCAAAAACGTAACTTAGTGGGAGGAAGGAGAGGTTGAGGCGGGTGAGAGATGGAGGGACAGTAAAAACTTTCATTATATGGCAAAAATTATAACAAATTCGTTAAAAGCAACTGAAAAGAAATTTATGAAATACCTGCAATTATACAGAAATTAACAGTATCAGTCTAGAAATATTAAACTTAATTTTCCATTTGTGCAGAGATAACACACTGTGTTAGATAGTGTAAGGTCTTTTTACATGGATTTGATTACAGAAACTAACAATGTATTCTCTAAATAATGAAAACAATAAAATATCAAAAAAATGTCTTTGGGTGATAGAATTTGGGAGTTGTCTAATGTTTCATTCCAGCTTTTCCAAGCTTTCTAAGATTCCTATGATGAGAATATGTTTCTTTGTATCTGAACTTAGAGAGTAAATTTATTTCAAGGAGATGGTGTACTTGAAAGCACTCTGTAATCTGCAAAAGCTTTAATTATGAAAGCAATTTTATTACAACTGTAAAACATTAAATGCAGGCAGTGCCATTTCATAGGGACAGAGGCGGATCCTCTGTCTACCTGCCCAGCTCTCAGCTGGGATGTGGCTGCCTCCTCCCAGCAAAAGGAGGGCAGCGGGGTAAACCACTGTCGCCCACCCTGAGCACCGTAGTGCTTACCTGGCAGAACGGCAGGTGCTGGGTTAGAAAAGCATTTCTTGGGGCTTTGCTTTGCAGACTTGGCAGCCCCACAGAATCAGCTGGGAACTTTTAAGCATTTACTTGTTTCTTTGTTTGTTGGGACAGGGTCTTGCTATGTGGTTCAGCCTGGCCTTAAAAGCACTATTTAGCCCAGGTTGGCCTCAAACTTGTGGCCATCCTCCTGTCTCAACCTCCTGAATGCTGAGATTAGAGGCATGCGAGACCATGCCAGGCAAGCGTGATGTTTTTCAAATGCTTCCCAGATAACAGTCCTAGACAGGATGGAGAGCGAGGTCATGTGGATAGTATGGATGAATTGTCCAGCCAGTTGCAGGGAAGAATTCCAAGACTTCTTTGGGAAAGCATAAACCTTTAACTAAGAAACACATTACTTTACCCATTGTTTTCCTCAAGCAAAGCTGAGTTTAAAAAAAAAGGACTTTCAATGGCAAATTACATATAAGAGTACTTATGAGATAATGTTTTTGATGATCTCATTTAATTAAAGTAATGGATGTAAACTGTGCACAGGTGTAACTGCCTCACAATTCTGAACAGTAACTGAGGCAAAATCCATCACAGTCACTAACCACATAATGGTGTCTGGTCAATGAGACCACATGTATGATGTCCCATAAGGTTATAATGCAGCTGAAAAACTCCTGTGACCTAGTGACACTGTAGTCATCATGACATCATTTAGGATACATGACTCACATGTTTGTGTTGATGCTAGTGTAAACCACCTACTGTACCAGTAGTCATATAAATCACGGTGCATACCACCATGTTTGGTACATGATTCTCGGTAATGGTCATTAACAACTAGCGTTACTGGTTTATGTGTTTGCCATACTATACTTTTTAATCATTATTTTTGAGTAGACTCCTACTTTTTAACAAAAGAGTTTATCATCAAACAGAAGCCTGGCAGAAGCCTCACACATCTCACATCTTCTCGTCTGCTGACCACTTTCCTTTCTGTTGTGCTTGATTTAATCTTGATTTATTCAGTCATCATGGCCTGAGAGCCTGGGCGGCTCCAAAGGGGGGCTTGCTCCTCTCTTTTGCTGTAGTTGCTTTTGCTGTTTTCTACCACCATGAATGGTTGCCCCTTTGCCACACCACCTTGTCTTGGAGCCAGCTGATTATGACCTGAAACCCCCACAAACTGTGGGATAAGTAAACCTTTCGCCCTTTACCTTTGGGTGCTGGGTATTTTGTCTGAGCAGTGAGAGAAAAGTAACTAAGACAGCATATTTACAGAAACCTAGACAGTATAGTCTGCTACACACCTACACACCTAGCCTACACCCTCCGGTGGTGTAGCACTCGCATCCTCAGCACTAGACAGTGAGCCAATTACAAACTCTAGGTTCAGCTGCCTCTAAAAAGCCTGCTTCCTGTGACCACATGAGGCTCTGGGGGACATCCAGGCACAAACCGTAACACACACATTACAATGTTTACACAATGGCTAACTTCCTAACAGTGTGTTTCTCAAAACTTACCTCTGTCTTTTAACACATGACTGTATTTACATATTCCTCGGAAGATATTTGAGAGGGAGATATACAGAGTCTCCAAAAATCAAATTATTCTATACTTGAACCCAGATACTTTGGCTTCCAACCACAACATGCAAGTATCTGGAAGTGGCCCATATGTTTAGTCAACAAAGCTAGCCTGCCTCTTGTCCCACTGTCACCCAGCCTCAAAAGCAACAGGAATGTTCTGTGCATGGAGTTGTATCACCAATAGCAGTGCCTGAATGAAACAATGAGGGACTTTCTTCCTCAAGGAAATATCATCCCCATTTTACAGAGCAAGTTACTGAAGCTCCAACAAGAAGATAACACACTCGGGGCTGGGGATTTAGCTCAGCGACATAAGCACCTGCCTTGCAAGTAGGTGGTCGTGAGTTCTATACCCGGTACCAATAAAAAATAAAAAAAGAAGTTAACACACTTGAGATGAAACAAAAGGACCTGGGATGGCTAACTCTGTACTCCTATTCACATTACCAAATGTTGTCTTTAAAAACCAAGCCACAAGTCAATTGCCTTAAAGATAATTTGTGTGGCAAGTCCTCAATTTGGATATAATACACAAATATTATCATAGAAGGAATATTGAACAGGAGTTGGCAGGAGTGATTTGTGGTTATAGTGTTTTATTGAAAACAATTTATCAAGATTTAATTCCAAACCCTTAGTCTGACTAATGACAATCTTCTGAAATGCTTTTCTTTAAAAAAAAATCTATTCTGCATCATGAAAAATTCACATAATATAGTATGTGACAGATCACAGTAGTCATATGTTTAGATCCACAATTACTAGATACAAATAAAAGATAGCTAGAGAGAAAATATCACATATGCATTTAATCAGGAAATAAAAAGGCTTCTCTAATCAATGTCTTGCAAAACCATTAACCAAAGTCCTAAACTAAAGGTGAAATAATTGAAAAATGAAAATGATTCATCTTCTCATGACAAGGAGATTGCATTTTTATAAAGAAGTTGAGTGCACTTACAGATGAAAAGGATGGATGCAACCATTTGGTAACTGGCTAAATAGTGGTCATAAACAAATAGGTGAAATAACTAAATTAGGAGAAGTCAGAATCGTGTCCCTTACTACCAAGAAGCAATAACACATTTACTCAGAACTTTGTTCCTTAAATCATCAGTTATATTAAAACTGACCATAGTTATAGGTATGATAATTCATCTGCCCATCCTTCCACCTATCTGTCCATCTACCAGGTTTAGTTGCAGGAAATTGCCCATTATTTGATCATTTTTGACATATAAAAAAGGTGATTTTGTGTAATCCAAGGCATTAGTAACCATTGTGAGCCATAATAATCATTATGGCCAACAAAATGTGAGTTTTGAAAGTTAAATGTTGAATAAGAAATGTTTCCCATCACTACAAACATGGAACGAGAACAACATACACCAACTAATGATGAAAGCTGTAAATGTCCATATTGTTAAGTGATATATATGCATAGAAAAAAATAGTAATTTTTCAGCAGGAGCATGGCTGATGGGATTTTATGAAATTGTCTGCCTTTTTGCTCATCTCTATTTTTAAAACTTTATTTCAGCCACATGCATTATTCGATAAAATTGGTGGTGGGAGAGACATAGCATGAAGTTTGCAAAATTTATTCCTATTTACACATGTGTATATGGTGGATAATTTTAAAGTTAAAATTGGATGAAGCAATCTAAGTAAAATAAGCTCAAAGGCTAACTGGACATATAGGTAATAGCCAAACCATATAAGCAATGGAACTCTGATCCCCAAGTATAGTAACCAGTCCATTATCTCTAGTAAGCAACCTCAGAAGGCAAAGAATCATTCTTTAGAAAACATCCAGCACTTGATTAATAACTGACAGTTTCTTTCATTTTTGTTCATACTTCAAACTCAGCACCAATCAGAAAAAGCCAGTTACATTCCTACACCAATCACAACGAATGCCCTCCTTCTAGTTTGCCACCTCCAGCTTCCTCAGGCCCACGGTCTCCAATCAGGGCTCACCTGAAGTCTTTCCTTTCTCCAACCTGAAGCCTTTCTCCTCCTGCACCTACCTGTAAGTCCCTGCCAAACATCAGTGATGGTGGCTGACCCCCTTGCCGTAGCAGCTCTGAATGAACAGTCTTTGCCTGGTCTTGCTTGGTGGGTCTTCGTTTATTTCCACAGAAGAGAAAGAAATGGACTCAGAAATGAGTTTAACACATGGAATGCAAGTAACAAAGTCAGATACATGTGTGAGAAATGAGGATGGTAGCAACTCTCCCTCCTGCACTGTTCTCAGGGCTCCCCGAGTTCTGATTGAACCTCATGAAGATGCAGTTATTTTACCTCTATTTCATCCTTTGTACCCCCTCAACGATATGCTTTGCTCTCAACTCTTTATCCTGCAAAGGGAAATAGCAGGTTTCCCTCTGTTTTTGGTTTTGATCTTAAAGGCTGTGTCCAAATCAGGAAAGTGTAGGAGCCAAATTTCATCACAGACTATAAACTCCATGAGGACAGAGGGTATATCTATTCAGCCCTTCACCACAATGCAGTGGAAAGATTGGAATAAACACATGAGCACATCCAACTCATCAGTACCAACATGATTGCTGCAGAAGATTACCCCATGACTTGATCACGTTCAAATCTGTCTTGTTTCCCTGAATCAAGACATAGTGAAAGAAAGCCTGTGGCCCCAAATGCTGACTATGCCCCAAATGGACCGGCCAAGCAGCAGACAAAAATCGGGTCATTGCTCGCTAATTTGTCCCACTGGAACTCAGCGCTTAGTTGGATACAGCTGCGTTTCTAAACTCCATCTTTCTCTCATGCTCACTCGATAGTAAACACGAATTGCTATTAATAATAATTTTCCACTGCACGTCCAGAACAATCCATCCAAAGAAAATTGGAACTTCTTCTTTACTGAGGTCCAGTCCCATCAATTTGATGCTCATTTTATAGAAAGGCCATTGAGCAAAATTAATGTACCCAAACAAATAGAGTTTGTCCTTGTAACTGATTCACAGTATGACAGGAAACAAGAGGGCTGCTTTAATGGCCTCCTCAGGGAAATTTATTTTCAGAACATTGAGTTATTTTCTTCTACTCTACCAGATTACATTAAAATCTTTTTAAAAAGAAAGAAAAGAAAAAGGAAACGTAGTTGCCTGTGTAGAAATCACTTTTGAGATCTAGCTTCACTTACATTCACTTGTCATTGTTCAAGTCGAATTATGCTATGATTAGAGCATAGGCTATTATGTTTCTTATCATTTTCTAGTTTTTCCATTTTCTTCGTACCATCTCTAGCATGGTTTGCCCTCAGCTCCTTAACATCAAAAGGAAAATCGATAGCCACCCTACACCAGAAATTGGGACTTTTTTACATACTACTACATCTTGCCATAAAATAATATTTTGGACTATGTTAAGGTGTGACTATACCCTTCAAAAAGCTCATGCATTAGAAACTTAATATGGTACCAAACTTCATATGCTTATAGTGTTTGGAGGAGAGGCCTCCAGGAGGTAATTAGAATTAATGGGGCCAGTCATGAGGGCATTAGCAGCTTTATAAGAAGAGAAGAGAGACTCGAGCTAGCACATTTGCTCTGTCTCACCATGTGATGCTCTCTGCCAGGTTCTGACGCAGCAAGGAGCACTCGTGAGATGTCGGCACCACGCTCTTGGATGCTCTAGCCTCCAGAACCATGAGCTAAACAAACCTCTGTGCAAGAGAAAACAGACTACAACAGACAATTATAATTATGGTTATCTTTTCATGCCACACTGCACAGGTCAGTGGTGTTACCTGCCTCATTCTCTATCATGAGAAATGAAAAACAGTAGCTTCCCCAGTCTCGGTGGAGGATATGTTCTTTTTCCTGTGATCTCCCTGACCTCCATCACAGCCAATTGCTGTTAAAAATAGCCAGTGATAGCCAGATGTGATGGCACACATTTATAATACCAGCAACTCAGGAACTGAGGCAGGAGGATTGCCACAAGTTTGAGGCCACCCTAAATTACATAATGAGACCCTGTCTCAAAAGATCAATAAATAAAATCAATATAGTCAGTTTATGGGGTAACCTAGGAAATGCCACCTAAACAGAGAGGGTAGTGCTGAAAGAAGCCAACTAGACTACCTTGGTTAAGAAATCAGATAAAGAAAATCGGAAGAGAGAATCAGTTGGGGGAGCAGAAAGAGATGCTGAAAACTTGAGAAGACAAAGCATGAACAAGTCCCTCTTACACTAAGCAGCAGCCCCACACTCAAGAGCCAGGCAGAGCTGGAGCGGCAGAGTGAAAGAGGGTGGGGGGAAGACGAGCACCTGGTGCCTGGCCAGGTTTCCTTCAGGCCAGCTGGATGCCACTTTCTGATAACCTGAGCTTTCTGTTACACTCATCATGGGCATAGTCTTTGTTTTTGTTTTTGTACTTTGATTAAACAGTGTCTTTGCACTCAATTACATCCTCAAGCCTTGTTATTTTTTGAGGCAGGAACTTATTAAGTGACTAAGTTGCCAACGCTGGGCTCGAACTTGTGATTCTTCTGCTTCAACCTTCCAGAACCTGCCTTTACAGGTATGTGCCGAGATGTCTTGCTATCGTGAGCATGCTTTAATAAAGGCAGAACTCTATTACAGCTAAGAGCCTCTCTCTCTGTCTCTATCTCTCTGTCTCTCTCTGTCTGATACAAAAGAGCTACACATACACACACATACACTTCTAAAAAATAACCCTCAATCTGGAAGCTGTTTTCCTTCCAGAACAAAGAGCAGCAGCCAAGAGGAAATGACCCTAAATTTAGATCAGGAGTCGCGAGCTGCCATCCAGCTCTCCCAGTGTAATCAAGATACGGCGTTTATCATCTCTAATTCTGCTACTTCCACCATAAAAGCAGACTTGGACAAGAAGCAGCATTGGATAAGAAAATACTGAGTGTTTTATGACAAATCCTGTGCAGCCTAATGGGGCTTAATGGTGAACTAAGTACAATCTGCGACTTTTCTGATCTTGCTGATAATGCAGTCAGGTAGACAAGTTACCACAAAATTGCATGATGTTAGCCTATGTTACAAGTAGGAGCTTACTTATAGCCAGGAGGACACCACATCTGGGGGAGAGAGGAGAGGAGACCTCAAAGGTATTCTTCTGGAGGCTACTTAGACCTGGATGAGGAAGGCTGAAGCACCACTGTGAGGGATAGGTATGCTCTGACCAGAAAATGGAACAGAAGAGAGATCCAAGGGATAATTAGTTTTATGCATCAATTTGTTAGGCTATAATGTCCACTTATTTAATCAAAAGCTAACCTAGGCATTGTTGAGAAAATAATTTGATGTGGTTACCATCTACATTACAATCAGTTTACTTTAGGTAAAGGAGATTACCTTCCACAGTGTGGCGGTCCTTGCTCAATCCGTTGACAGGCCAAAAGAGCAACAGGAAAGATCTGACTGCAGACTGAGCATGAACTCCTGCCTGAGTTTCCAGCCTGTAGACCTGCCCTTCAGCCCCCAAGGCCATGCGAGCCAAGCTCTTAAAATAAATCCTGTGTGTCTTGCTGCTTTGTTTCTTTGGAGTACCTTGACTGATATAATCCAGGTATGAGCATGTATACAAGTCCTGAGATGAACAGGGAGCCAGAGCACCTGGCTTATGATCACTCAGACAGCAGTGCCCAGAGGCCACAGGATTTTATAAGGCTGAATAAGTACAGGCAAGTTCAAAGTTTCTCTCTGAGGGTTTAGAGACTGTGTTTGTTAAAACAAAGCAACATCCATCAGATTAACAGAAAAAAAAAAAAGTTTCCACGTGCATGAGAGCCACGAGATAGGAGGTTCGAACAAAACCAGTAAGACTTAAATGTTTACTTCACAGGGAGGAGGAGAGTCAGGAGAGGGTAAATATTTTTAGAGGAAGTGAAGGCTTGGAGTGTGGTAACAGCGCTAGAAAGCCAAGTGGATGATTCAGGAGATGGCTCAGAAGCAGAGCAGGGTGGAGAGTGGGAGGATGGATAGACCAGTCCAGGGAAAGTTCTGTACACACGGACAATAACTTCATAGCTTAGCGGGCTGTGTCAAAATTTCTTATCAATCAGGAATGTTTTGTGACTGTACTCCTGATGGGGAGTTTTACATCTAATTAAATGCCCGGCAATTTCAGTTCTGAGATAAGAAGTTAAGAATAGTATGGGCATGTGAGATTTTTTCACTTTTATTATACACCAGAATCTCAAAGTCCAGAAACTATGGTGCAGCGACTCTCAGGGTTTCCTGAGAACCAGGAGTGACAGTTTCCAGTTTCTAGGGCTTCCTTGGGCAACTCACATTTTCCTTTATTCTGAGGTCAGCCTGTGGTGAGAAGGCCCAGCAGAGAAGCAGCCGAGGAAGGAAGCAGCACAGGTGATCTTAGTGCGGCCGTGGCTTCCTCATGGGGAGTGCTGACCAGTGTAGGATGGAAGTTTGTGCACCACCAGGGGACCTGTGACACACCTGTGAGGAAGGGACTGTGCTGATAAAGCTCCGAGCGTATGTCAGGCACCCTGAAGGGCTGATGGAACACATTCTGCATGTGATATTTCATAGGCAGATTTTGGGGGCAGGTATCCAAAAAGAACTTTTGTTGTCCGAAATTTGGAATCCTGGTTTTCTCAGCCATGGAACAGCATAAAGCTGGTCATACACAGGAAGCCATTTCCCTTGAGCACTCTCTGTCTCTTTATTGTGACCTCTCCTCGCTTTCCTGAGTGGTTCCTTCCGTGATAGTCACATATTCGTGAGGCAAGCTATGCTTCCAGACTCACTGAGCCTCCAATCAGGGACATTCTCTCTTAAGTGGTTTTCTAATGGGCTGAACACTCCCCTGGTTCCTCCCCAAGGCCGTGGCCATTGGAGACCTCACCATGGAACTTTATTTGGAAAAAGGGCTTTTGGAGATGACATGAGGTAAGACAAGGTCAGACTGAATTGGAGTGGCCCTAAATCCAATAACTAGTAAACTTAAAAGAGGAGGATACACAGAGATAGAAGACTATGTAAGCCTTGAGACGAGACCGCATTGACCAAAGATTGCTGGGAGCCACCAGAAGCTGAAAGGAGACAAGGACAAAGTCTCCCTCGGAACTTTCAAAGTGAGCACGATGGTGCCAGCACCCTGACTCAGAAAATAATTCTGTTGTCCTGAGCCACCCAGACTGTGGAAACTGATGCAGGGCTCCAGGGGTGACCTCAGCCTCTGTGCAGGCCGAGTGTGGGCACCCTCTTCCCTTTGCCCTGCCTGGCGCTGAGGGATCTGGCCGCCTCCCGTTTCTCTGGGCAACTCCTCCGGCACCCCTGCTCTCATCCTCGGCTGGCACGAGTCACACACAGTTCTCCCAGCTGCCCTTTCCTTTTCACCAGCTCAGCATGGTCTCCTTTCTGCTTAACTAGGTTTTAAAAATTCTTTTACTAGTTATTATGAATATAGACAAATAGGCAGGCAACCACACAAATATGAATCCTGGGGAAATTAACAAAGAGAATAAAACTTACTGAACTTTAGTTCCTGCACTCCAGCTCCTGGACTTATCTAGCATCTGGGAATATATTGGCACTTGGGTATTTTCATATTCTGTCATGAAAATTAACAACAAAAACAGAATTGTCTTCTATAGCATAAAAATTTAAAACTTTTTCTTAATGCAAACTAGAAGTATAAATGTGTTTTAATTAAATACATGTATTTTTAAGCACTGGCTTGACTTTGCATTTCATGAACTCATTACCCTGTCTGCCTAAATTATTTCTACCCAACTTAACTGTCTATAATATTCCCCTCTCTGCAGAAGTATCCCTCACTGCTATGAGAGACCAAGGAATGATGACCATTCTGGCTACTTCTGGCTGAAGAGGGATAGTCATGCAACACATAGACGAACTTACTGACTATACTCAACAATGAAGTCAAGTAAAAGGGATACTCCACCAAGAGTCTATCTAAAGTCCTTTGATAGATGCCAGGTGTTCTTATCTTGGGTAGGTTTATAGTTTTAATCCTGGAGGAGACAAGGCCAAAGACATAGTTAAGTATCCATTAGCCAGATAATAAGATCAGCAAAACTATTATGAATACAACCAACAAAAGTTTTCACCAGGAAAAGCCAGTAATAGCCTTCCATAATAAAGGCAGGGAAAAAGTTCATGAAATATCAGAATTTGACATGGCATTAACCTGTTTTTGAATATTTGAATAGCCAGGCATGGTAGAATGTCTGTAATCCCAGCACTTAGGAGGCTGAGACAGGAGGACCACTGTCAGTTTAAGGCCATTCTGAACTACACATAGCAAGACCCTGTCTCATAAAACGAAACAAAAAGAAACAAAACAAAATAAAAAAATTCTTGAACAGCTGTAGCTAGCAGAAGGATTAGGAATATACACACAACATTCATGTCTTCACACAAGTTTCCCCTTGTATTAGAATGTCTAATGCCATCCAATTTTGGAGCACAGCTTAGTTCATTAATTTTACTTGACTTCATTGTTGAGTATAGTTAGTAAGTTTCTTCGATGTGTTGCACGACATCCTCAGGAAAGGATAAAGATAGAAGCCAAATGATCATACTAGTGAAACACACTTCTAGATCACTGATGTAGTAGACAGGGTAAGTTTACACGTTGTCAGCATTTTTTTTTAATTTTATTTAAGGAGAAAAAGAAAAAAAAAAACAAAAAGGGTACAAGTTATAAAGAATTTCAGAAAAATAAACGAAATCACTAGTTAATAGATTACATATTGTCATCTTAGAAATCGTTGTTCAAGTTACAAAATTAAAGCATATAAAGTGGATTTTCAAACAGACTGCAAAGAGTTCTGTTCAATGAGCCAACAAAACTCAGTAATATGGTTATCTATCTTATACACTTAAATATACATGCAGTTATATCCTTTAGAGCACTTTCTTTTCCTCTCTTTTGTACAATGACATTTACACATTTTGGGTTTTATTACTCCCACAGTTCTTGCTACTTTTTTCTGAAGAGAGTAAAACCAAATGCGACATAGCAGAATAGAGTCAAATCAAAAGGATGGACTTAATACATAATGTAAAAACAAAATACAAGGTGATCAACAATGGTTACCATACTGCCTCTTGCTATCTTAAAAAGAATTGCCTATATCATCAGTTATAATAAAATTGAACAAAACAGTAAAGAATAAAACCAAAACATTGGAGACATTACAGGACTTCATAAGAAGATGATAGTCAACCAGAATGGGCGTCATAATGAATCTTATTAAACGTTGTCAGCATTTTTGACATTCCTGCCTTGGAGCCTCGCAAATCCCAGCATGCATCACTCTATCTACTCAGGAGGTGGCCAGGGCCGCAAATTGATTCCACTGGGCTAATGAGTGCCACTAGGGGCTTCCTATCTAATTCCAAGCTGATTAAACTAGTCTGTTCAGATCAATCTTCAATCTGTAAAGTTATGGTCTGTATACACTGTTCAAGGTGAGAGATCTGGCCAACAGAGACCAGCCTCCCCGCTATTGAAAAAGCCCAAATACAGGAACAAAACATCCATTTCCACATTACAAGAGCTTAACCACAAGAACAAGGAAATACCCTCTGTAACAGAGCCCCGCTGCCAACCCCTCCAGAGAAAGACACATTACATAGAAAGTACAAGAGCCACCACAGCTCTCAGCCCATAACCAAAACAAGTAGCTACCCCCGTTTAACTGTCGATAAAAACCCTGCTCAGCCCTACCCTGGGCACCTTTCCCTGGTCTGCTGGATTAAGTGCCACTTCTGCTTCCTTTGATTAAAACCCCTCACGTCGACCTTGCAGTGTGTGTTCTGGTTCTTGGCATGGGGTCTGGTCGCTTTATGAAAGGGGAATCCATCCCATGTAGTTAGCAGAGTTAAGCCACTGAGAATAGGAGTGATTTCTTTGTTTCTAACATAAGAGGGCCTTTCTATTAAGTTGTCCTACAGTTGAAGTTAACCACATACAATCATTATCAGTATAAATATTGACTTTCTGTCCTTCACTGACTTGGAAAGGCCTTTTTAGATCTGAGTTCTGCTAGCTGGGAACTAGTCTCAGGGGCAAGTGAGGAACTTTCAAGTGTCTGATGTGGAGTCTCTACTGCTTACCCTGCCTTTCTTGTCTCATTTTCCATGAAGGAGCTGTTATTACAGAAAAGGGTCAAGTCAGGGTCAGGAAGGGCTGCCACTAACATGCCTTCTCTGGCTGCATACATAAGGAGAATTGCCTGTTTGCAGTCACGTCTGTCAGCTTGAATTTCTTCTCCTCTGGTAGAAAGGTGGCAGGGTTTAAGGATGAATATGTCTTTATTTGAATGGCTGGTCCTTCTAACAGTAGATCCTGGTATTTAAGAAGTCGGTTACCTAATAGCCATAGACTCCCTTTGGAATAAATAAGTCCTGACCCATTGTGAGTATATATCCAGTGAGATCTTTGCCTAAATCAGCGTGGATTCTTCCAGTACAGGAGAGCTATGGCAGCCACAACTCTAAGGCCTGCAGAACATCCCTTTGCTACAGTGTCTA